TGCTGACATCACGTGTGCGACCTGTGTTTACACTAGCCGACAGCATGGATGCCCTCAGAGCTGCGCTCTGTCACTACCCGATCCATCAATTGTCCAAGCGCTTTCTGCTTGTTTGTTTTTGCAAGCGGAATTACTGCTCCTTGCGGAAGACCACAGACGAAGGACGAGGTTAAGAACGGGGGAAGTACTGCCACCTACAGGTCTGGCATGTCCTTAACAACGTATTTATCCGGGTACGTGTGGACAGAGTTTGTTTTTAAAACGCGGTGGTGTGGATGCAAGTTTTTGGAGGGGCGGATATTCGTTTTCAAAAAACCCCGGCTACATGTGGACTAGGCCTGAAGGTGAGATGTAACATTTTGGGGAGTGTGGAGGTAGCCAGAGGAGGCAAAACTAGGGATGGGTACGTTTGACATTTGAATTGATTTGGTACTAATTCCCGGTACCTAGGAATCGATACGGTACTAAATGGTACCAATTTTCGATACTTTTGAGTGTTTAATATTTTAATTCTCTTTTATAATTAAATATATTTTTTCTCAATTTATAACCATATTTGATAAATATCACGATAAATAACATACAACTGTTTGTATTTTAACATCGTCCTTGTGGTTTTAATTTAAATTTACTGTGTATCTTCATTCCTTTAGCCGTCTTTTTTCATTTGATTTTTCCTACTGGGAAGTTAGAATTTCAGAGGAAAAAGCTAACGCACCATTAGCTGATAACAATGGTGGCAATGCAAGCTAATTTATCAAGCTAACGTTATCTTAAACAGTTTATTTAGCTGCTGGAGCAGATTAAAACGATGATGCCTCACACTTAGATTGTTGTCGCTGGTTTCATCTTCACCCAATCACCCGTTGCATTTAGTAAAGTGAAGCCAAACTTTAGAGCGCGTTCATGTTCTTCTAGCCGGAAATTCGGAGTTCCGAGGAGAAAGCGAACGCACCATTAGCGAAACGGAAGCTAACATATCAAGCTAACTTTACCTTAAACATTTTATTTACCTAACGGAGCAGATTAAGATGAGGATGTCTCACTTAGATCGTTGTCGCTGGTTTCATCATCACCCAGTTACCCATCACATTTAGTGAAGTGGACCCAAGCTTTAGCGTGCGTTCTTTCTACCATGCTGCTCTGTTTACAACTCGCTCGCAGCGACTGACGACATAACGCTCTTGCGCCTGTGCAGCTGTCTAGGCAAGTTCTCGTTATGAAGGACGGGTACCGAAACGAGGCACCGTTTCAAATGACTTGAATCGGTGCTCATTCGGTACTGTGGAATTCGGTCGGTACCTTAAAAAGTACCGAATTCGGTACCCATCGCTAGGCAAAACTGAAAAATATAAACCAACAGCAGAACTTGTGTCAAAAAACATTGAGTAGAGAACTAAATGTGTGCAGACAGGGATTTCTAAGTGAAAACATTGAATAAAGTAAAGGTAGAATAGATGAGTGAACTTGACTCACAATGGGGAAGGCTGTTGTTGCTTCAAAGGGTCCTTACAGTAGAAAAATCCACTTTCTGGAGCTTTTCACCATGTGATGTTGTTATTTCCTTTATCAGTCTTTATTAGACACGTGACCTTACTGTCAACCACACCCCAGAGCCATTTTGGGTGCAGGACTCGCATTGCTAGGGGGAAGCTGCAGCTGAAGTTGAAGCAAAACGAGTCAAAAGGATGGATTAAAAAAAGGATGAAAGCATCCCTTACAGGAATAAATGTGTGAAGGAGGCTAGAGATCGGTATTTTCAGAAATCGTCTACAATTGACATTGTAGGTCCCTGCGACCTCAAAGGAAACAAATGGAGCTCAGGCGTTTCATTACTGTCCAAAACATGTCACTTGAGTAAGCATAGCACTACTTCAACAAGTTTATTGTCAGGCTAAAAGTAGCCACCCATAATCATTACTCCACTAACACAGGTGCTGCGCCAGGTTTTCAGTTTTGGATGGGCCTTAATTAAACTAGTTATTCAATATAAGTTACAAGCAGGTACAGAAACGATTTTCTGAGATCGCACCAGACATGTTTGCTTTAATTTTGACCAACAAAGTAAAAAAAACAAAAACAGTCATAATTGTTTCCCCCCATAATTTCTCAAATAACAATAAATAAAAATTCACAATTTTATTTTCATTCAATTTTCATTGACCAACATGCCCAGCAACATATTAATGTTACAATTAAACTATTTCACTTAAAAAAGGAACATTCTACCTGGTTCTGGTTCTGCTGCTGGCCTGTGGCCCAGCATGCTGATGGAGAGCTGCACTGATCATGGTGTTCAGGTCTGAGATAATGCTCAGATGTACTGATGGAAATGTATTCTTGATTGATTTTGTCACCTCCGTGATGTTCTCTGTGCGTAACGTTCAGAACAGGGGTGCCCATTCCTGGTCCTGGAGGGATGGTATCCAGCAGGTTTTAGTTTTAACTCTGCTTCAACACACCTGATTTCAATCAGAAGGTGATTAGCAGGCTTCTGCAGAGCTTGATGAGCTGCTGCACAGGTAATTCAACCTCTGAATTAGGTGTGTTGAAGCAGAGAAACCATAAAACCTGCAAGATACCAGCCCTTGAGGACCAGAATTGGGCACCCCTGGTTTAGAATGTCTACACACCTGTATGCCTCGAGGTAGTTCCAGTCTGTCAGATTGACCAACAACCTTGAAATTTTTCTGTCAAAAAAGAAATGATCAAAAACTGAAAATATCCAGTTAACGCGACCCCTGCCTACTTGTTTGCCTTCTTGTGAAGATAGCATGGCAGCCCTTCACACAACGCGAGTGTACCATTTTCTGCAGGTTTGTAAGCTCACAACAAAACAAAGGGAACAATGCTTCCGTTGTTTATACTCCTAGCTATCCCATCATGCAACGTGTTACAGGACCCGATACGTCCTCTGATGAAGACCGATTGTCATGTAACAGACTTGGTGGTCCAGTGGTTGGAGTCAGCGGTGGATTAACAATTTGGGGGCCCAAGGCGAACACAGACATGGGGTCCCCTTACACTAAATTTTCAACGATCTTACCTTTAACTGGACATGCGAAACTTTCTCCTCTTCTGACATGAGTTATTTTCCCTTTTTATTAGTCCTCCTCTTTTTTTCCTGTCTTTCTCTCCCTTTGAGTGCCTTCAATATTTGCTCTGCTTTCTTCTTCCTGTCAGTGCTCCTGTGCTTTTGCCTTTCTTTTTTTTTCTTCTATTTTCCATTTTGGTCCATGTCTTCCTGCCTTTAAACATTTTCCATTGTCTTTCCTTTCTGCTTCCTTTTGATGTTTACATAGAAAAATTATGTCACTTTTGGAAGTGAAGATAAAAGCTTTTTAAAAGCATGCTGCTTCTTTCTCTTATTGGAGCCACTACGATAACTCCATTTCATGCTTAATGTTTTGACTACCGCTTTGAGTTATTTACGAACGCTCCCGCCTCTTTTCTTCTTTTTCTGCTTTCTCTTCTTCTTCTTATTTGTGGTCTTAGGGCACTTGGCAAACAACAATTGGATGCATTACTGCCACCAACTGGATTGGAGTGGGATGACTACCAATCACTTCCTGTTTGTGCATCTGTGTCTTAAAGGAATAGTCCATTGTGGCATTAACAGAGGGGTGCCAGCAGTCAGGGCTGGGAGGCCCCCCAACATAAGGGGGCTACAGGCGGCAACCGACCTATGCCTAGTGGTAAAACCGCCACTGGTTAGAGTGCCAGGTAGACACCTTAACCATTGGACTACCGTATAGCCAATACAGTAACTGACTCACCTAAAATGCTGTTGTAGGCATGCTTTGTCGGAGTGGGCATGGGCGGAGCCTCACTGACACAAATCTTTTTGTTTTCAGATATAAATTTAGGCTGACAAAAATACCTCGCATTTAAGATAAATGACATCCCATTAGTGCCAACAGTAATACTTTATCTTATTTTGTGCCTACCTTAGCTCTCAAAGGTTTAAGATAGCATAATCTGGAACCTTTAATGTCCGCTAATCAGCAGCGGCTAGTTTAAGCTAACTGTTAGCATTAGCAACTTCACCTCACGGCAGAAGGCCCTCCAGTCTTGTGTTATTTGTGGAGATAAAACATCTATGTTGCCGTTCAATAATAGAGATGCATTGCCATTATGCAATTCGGGGCGAGATGACCAAATATCAGGAAATAAGACTCTAAAACCTGCCACCTGAAACTCAATGTGATGTGGGAAATTTTTAGGTCTGAGAAATGGTGTACCAGTATGTTTATTCCCCTGAGAACAGCTTACAAGTCATTCATTCCTACTAGAAACCACTGAAAAAGAAATTATTAAACCAGTCACCCACTCCTTTAAAATATCCTCTTTTAATAACAGGTGTGCAGTTGTAAAATGAATGTAATGTTTTTATTGTATTTGTTAGTAAAGATGAGAGATGTTGACTGATGTAAATGTTCTTCAGGCCGATGGCATCCACAGGTATTTCAGTGAGTCTAATCTCAGCGGACAAGACCAGTTGTTCTGCGAACGCTGCAACACCAAGTCTGATTCTATTAACGTAAGTTCCATTTCTGATTTGTTTTTACTAAACTTGATTGTATTTTTTTTTTTTGCTGGTTTTAATTGAACTTACAAAAATGGGCTGAGACTATGTTAGAATAAAATTGTATCAAATTATTTGACTTCTTTCTATTAAACAAAATTACTTTTGATGCTATTTAAACAATTTGAACTTTTGTTTTGGAGGATTTCTAGCTTTTGACAGCTTTGTATGTTGCCACAGGCACAGCTGCACTAAGACAGGCTCAACATACTATGGAAACACACGTGACACTGTGCTTGAGCATTGACATTGCAATGTACATGTGCAGGAGGCAAATTAATTTATCTTGTTCTTATCTAATTTCAAAGGTTCCTGATACATACTGTGTTCAGCAAACCACAGATCAAAATCCTTCTTAATTTGTTTGCCAAAGCAGATCACGCCCCTGCACATGGAATGAGTTGCTTGTAACAACTTTGAAAAATGAGGAATGAACAATAGAAAATGGTGGAGCCCAGCAGGGTAGAGGTGGGGGGATTATTTTGAGGTTAAGAACTTGTTCCCTCAGTTGGATTTTATTTTAGTTTCACACAAATTTCCATTATTCCTCCTGACAAGTAAATTTCACACTCAGTGGCTGAAACTAATAAAAAGGCTTCTGCCATTGAAGTTTTATTTTCTGCTGGTCTGTCCTCAAAGTATTCTGCCGTCACTAGACGATGAAGCTGGGTTCAAGCTCGGCAGATAGCTTAAAGGGACTTTTTGGACTTTTGAATTTTCATGCTCGCGATTGCCCCCTCAGGCCAAAAGCGTAACGACAGCTTCAATAGTAGGCTCGTGCACGAGGCGCGCATGCTGTACGTGCACACTCCTTAACGAAAATAACAGCTGAGACAGAGCACAGAGCTCTGAGAGCGTCCCGTGTGTGTGAGTGGCCCGGAGGACAGAAGAACACAGCAAATTAATAAGATAAAGTGCCTCTGTCCCTGCAGCTGCACTTTCTCGTCGGCCGGCCGAACGTGCAGTGTGTGTGTGTGTGTGTGTGGCCCGAAGGACAGAGGACAGGAGAACACGCAGCTAATTAATTAAATAATTTGGCTCTGTACCTTTCTCTTCAGCACAGCTGACAAAGGTTTAAGGTGGGTCAGTCCTCCTGCATGCTCAGATCATTCCCTTCCCTTGCTTGAAAAATTGTTCCAAAATGAAAGTTGAACCCACATATTTTTTATCTGTGAATTCAATGCCTTTTGGCGAGTCTCTAATAAAAAATTGGGCGTCTTACTGTAAAAAAATATATCATTAATGTAAAAAGGAAACTCTAAATAAACTATGTTCACACCCAGATTCAAACCCAGGTCCTCAGCATGAGAGTTAGCCATCTTACCAGGTGAGCTAAAGCACCAGTGACATTCATTGTATCTGTAACATTTATATCCTTGATGACAGCTGAAACAATGTCAAACCAAGCGAAAATGGCTATTTTGTTGCTAATTTGCAGGAAATATCTAGAAGAAAGTTCTACAGAAAGTAGCTAAGGGTCCTCAGAAATGTAGCTAGGTTTGTCACTAGGCGTTAGGAACAGCGACAAAGTCGCTGACTTGGCACTGCCTCTCTCTCTGCTGCTAAAGCTACGGATAGCAAATGCTACGGGCTATGCCTGAGCGTGAACGCGCATGAAGCAGCTTGCTCGACCCAAGCATCTCTCTTTTTCTGTGATTTTACAGAAAAACAGGCAGTCACAGTAAAAATGCCAGGGCTCATTCTACAGGACCAGGGCACTGCAGGAGAATGTATGAAGAAGAAATTTATTATTTCTATACATGTTTTGGCTGTCAAACTTCCATATAGAGCTCCGGGAGTTGACGTCACTTCTCCCGGCATGCAACAGTTCAAATCGAAACGGCACCATCTTGGCAGGTAGAAGCCGGCAGCTGGACTATTTGTTATTGTCAGAAAACTCAATCAGACAGGAAATATGGTAGATTCCTGTTGTGACCCAGGATGCAGAACAGATGCGGACGACATAAGGAATGAGCCATCTACAAGATTCCCCAAGATCCGGAGCGCCGCAAACGTTGGATCATTGTAATAAAACGCACTAGTGACCGGGCTAAAATGAAACTGTGGGATCCCGAGAGTAAAGGCTTTCGCTTATGCAGCGACCACTTCATATCAGGTACTTAAACCAACGTTTCCTCAACTGTGTATGGTATTTATTTTAAATGCTTTTATTACGATTCTTAGTGGGCTTCCTAAACTTATTTTGGCGTGGCTTTTTCTGTCTTATTACTCATAGCAACAAGTAAACATCACGTAAAACGTTGCCTCGTGATTTCTGCGTGCTGCCGTTTACGTGTTTTATGATCACAGCAATTAACCGGCTAAGCTGTATTTAATTTTTAAGCAATGGTTGATCAATTGTCAGATCACACATAAAAAGCACTTTGGATTGTTATTATCTGTCTCACCGAGACAGATCTCAGACAGATCCTGAGACGCTCCTGCCTGACATTTTTATTTTATTCACGGAAAACAATCAAACTAGTGATTTCTCTTGGCGTTCAGTTTATAAATTCAAACAGCACAGCACTCTATTTAAACTACTTACGTGTAAATCTGTTATTTTTCCATCCATTTTCATCCGCGTATCCGGAGTCAGGTTGCGGGGGCATGTAGCGTTGAGAGGCCCAGACTTCCCTCTCCGCAGCCACCTGAGCCACCTCCTCCGGGTAAATCCCAAGGGGTTCCCCGGCTAGGTCTGGTAAGAAGTCCGCTCCGACAGCTTCTGGCGTTTTTAAAAAGTATCCCAGGGGCATGGTAAGGGTCAGAGATGTTTAGTCTATTTAATTTCTGACTATATAAAACGATTTCTTCGGTTTTAAAGTGTGAAGTAAACTCCGACGAAGTAAAATCCAAGCCGATCCCGTTCACATTCATGTTTACATCCGTGTTTGTTTAGCTTCTTTTACCTGCCAATATGGCGTCTACTAACTGAGAGTCACGTGGGGTCCGGAGCTCTATAGTCCCTTTAACAGGTCCACGATAAACATCCAGGAGTCAGCAGGGACGTTTTCACTGTAAAACTGCAATACAGAAAAACATTAAATGAATAATGTTACATTTGTGATGTATTTATATGTATTTTATATTAATAAACACTTAACAGTGAACTTTCATGTACTTTATATGTAAACCATAAAGATATAATAAAACAATCACAAGTTTTTTCCCCAAGAACCTAGCGGTTAGCTCAATGCTAACAATATATATAAAATCCTATAGACGGGCTAACGCATTAGCATCGCAACCGTTTTTACTAGAGATAAAACTTCCTTACACAAGATTCTCAACTGTTACATAAAACTATAATAAATACGCTCAACAGAACAAACATATATGACCGGCATGTGCTCTTTCAGGGAAGGGAATGATCTGAGCATGCAGGAGGACTGACCTATATGCAGAAAATATAACAGTTAGCTTAATGGTCATCTCCAGTTGAGAATAACTATGGCAAGTCTACCGGTACAAACTACGTATGCACGCACGTGCGTGCGCACACACGCACAGAGCTAAATTCACATGTCTGCCTTAAAGGGTCAGCACATAAAGTGTCTGGGAGGCACGCGTAACTCCTGTTCCTATCATGCTTCGTGGCATGCTTTTCGGCATTTATGTATAAAGTTAAAGTTAAAGTCCCACAGTCATCATCACTGGTGAAATTGATTTCTGCATTTGACCCATCCCCATGGAGGGGAGTGGTGAGCTGCAGCTGTGGCTGCACGAGGAACTATTTGGTGGTTTAACCCCCAAATCCAACCCCTTAAAGCTGAGTTTCAAGCAGGGAGGCATTGGGTACCATATTTTAAATCTTTGGTATGACCCAATCAGGAATAAAACCCCTATCTCCCAGTTCCAGGGCGAACACTCCACCACCGGTCCACTGAGCTGGTCAATTATTATAATATTATAATCAATTTTGAACGTTTATTAATTGATTTTGAGTCAGCACATTACATCGCGATGCATCGATTAAATAGTTAATTGGCACACCCCTATTTGACAACCCATTGGTTACAGAGTATATGTCTAATCACTGAGCCACCATTCCCTGTGCATCCCCTGCATCAAGAGAGCATACTGGACAAGAAGCCCAGATCCAGTTAACTGCGCATTGAATCAAACTAAGTGAATAATCAGCGTTGTTATTATATCATTCAGTTTCTTAGCGTCAACTGAAAATTATTCATTTATTGGTTCCACATAATTAGGATTGTCATGTCTGTGTAATCTACATTCATATACATTTTAATGCTCAATATGCCATGTTCCTAACAAAGAAACAGCTCTATGTTTGTTTACAGACATCTTATAAAAGCACTATTTGCTTGGATTGTTGCCCATGGCCATAACATTATTTTAGCTAACAACGAAAACACACCTTTTTGAGGAAATTACTGAAATGTTTTTTCTGTTTTATTCTTGTTGATAAAACACAAGCCAAGGATTTTTCACAGTAAAACAAAGTAAATTGAGTAAAAAAAATGTTTTTCTTTGTAATATAAAATCTATTTCAATGGCTTCCTATCAGTGGCCGGCCTGAAATAGCTCCTTGGAAAAAGTAATAGATTCTAATTTGAGCGTTCTGAACTTTGATTAAATTGAAGTGTAAAATTAAATGAAAAAAAGAAAATTTTCAAACTTTTGACCTTTTACACCTAATCTCGTGGGTCTACCATGTTGGGTGGCAAACGCATGTAAAAGCAACACAAGTACTAGACTAGGGGAAAAGTAGAGCCTGAGATTGTTTTTTTGTTGGTGGGGCTCATAGAGAGAGGTATTTACAAAAGTTAAGTGTTAACTAGCTTACGTTCTCCCTGCTGGTGTTCACCGATGTAAGGAAGTTGCCGACTTTGCCAGAATCCACTCTGCTGGATTTATAACATTATGTGATTAACAGTGTTTCACTTTACACTAGAGCTGATTTTAAAAAGTCCAGATCTCTATCCAGTGTTTGTCGCTGGTGGGGTCACTGTGTTCAGCTGCTGTTCTCACACCGGGATGAGACAAGATAGCTCTTGACGGCGACACTCATCATGCTAAATAAATAACGTAAATCTACCACATGTAATCCTAGATTGAAACAATATAATTGTAAATAATTAGCTTGCATTTCATTACAATAGAGAGTAACACACGTCCTCCATGGTGAAATATCCATCCATCCATTAGGATTACCATTATTATCTGAGATAGTCTAACTAAGAAAGTTAAATATCTTGGTCATACCATCACAGAGAACATGAGATGATGATGTCATGTGTAGGCACTGCCGTATGTTGTATGCTCAGGGAAATACACTCACTCGTAAGTTTGGGTCTTGTTCTGATAAAGTAAAGAGAACTTTGTTTAAGGCGTCTTGTACACCGCTGTACACGGCCCACCTGCAGACTAACTATAAGAAATGTAGTATGTAGGCAGCATGTTACCTATAATGATGCCTTGCTAAACCTAGATGGACGAGTGCAAGTGAGACTTTTGTAAATGTGAGGGTGAGCACCCTACAAGCTGTCCGAAGACATTTTATTCATACATTTGTTTGTAGGCAGAACAATTCTAAAAATGTGATTGTTTTTAATCTAACCACCTGTGTCAGTGCAATATGTTACCAGTCAAAGATGTGGAAACACTGGTGTATTTATTTTCATTTTTTTAGATTATGGAGTTACTATAATTTATACTTTATTTTCACACTACAGTTATTATTGTCTCTTGCATTTGTTCAGATTATTTTGTTTTTTGCGTGTCATGAGAACGGGAGAAGGGGCTCCCGGGTGCCCCTCTGGGATGGATCCAGTTGGGCATATCATGGACTCCTGGAAACAGTAGAACCTGATCTGCTAATCTCAACTGTCTGTAGAGGATTCTGATGACGTCTGGATATTCGTGGTGTTGGTGTCAGGTTTCCTGCTTTTTGGCCTGGGAGGTTACCTGGCTTACCGGAAAATTAACGAGCTGTCGAGGAATATTGGCTCTTTCCCAGAGCTCAGAGATGGATTGCACCGCGCTGTGAATTCACAGACTCATAACTGTCGAGATGAGTCATAAGCTTGGAACTTTGGCTGAGATTCATGCATTGGCACAAAAGATAGATGCCATCAAAGATCGAGTGGACAGATCAGCACGGATTGGGATAGATTAATTTACGCCATTATTGGATTCAGAGGGGTTGAGGACCAACGGAACTTTAAGACAGAGAGGAAATTATCTCTGTCTGGCCCCAAAAGAATTTCTTATCTGAATCTGTTGCCCTTGAGCCTGTGAGGCTGAACCCCCCCCCCCATCAGAAGAAATGTGGAATGCTGCCGTCGCCATAGCAACTCTGTCTCCTTATCCCAGCCTGGGCAGGACTGCGAGCTGTGAAGGCCACTGAATCGTTCCAGGAGTTACTGTGCCCTCTAAACACAATGACCTCCCACCCCTGTCCAGACTGAGGTGACGAGCGCTGCTTATCGTGGCTGCATTCACTGACGTGTGGAGAGTCCCAAACCCTACCTCCTCACCTAGTGGACACTTATGTTGTATAATGTCTGAAGTCTGTTGCATTTCTGTCTGAGGTGTTTTTTGCATAGCGAAGCTGCCCTCCCTGTGGAGGGTAACTCTGAAGTGCATTTTTTTTCCTCCACCTGACCCTATCCTCATATAAACCCTTCTGATCTCTATTACGGTAGCGCGACTCGGGTTGCGAATGACCACAGTCACCAATTCTTGTCATGTGTCTATGTATGTATGTCTGATCTCAGAATTGTGTGTACTGAAACTCTAATTTCCCTCTGGGATTAATAAAGTATCTTTGAATTTGAATTGAATTGAATATGGTGCTCACTTAATTTAATCTAATCTGTACAATGTTTTTCTACTTGTGAATTGCGGAGAGTCTGGAATAAAGGCTGCTTGACTTGACTTGATTAAGTAATATAAACACACACGTTCACAATTTCAGGTCCATCACAGTTAGCCCCCGTCTTCCCATGAAATATATGAATGTTAATCTTACTCAGTAAAGCATGTTAGCTGCAAATCCAAAAACATTTTGAGGGCTGCTAGTCCCTTTGATTGATCTGCGTCTCATCTACGTCCTCACCCACTGTGCAAACACTTAGTTTTGGCATTCTACAAAAGTCGTCTGGACTGACAGACTATATAGACATGATCTGCACATCCATGTGACATTGACTGTTTGCAGGGAAATCTCCATCAAAGTTATAAAACAAACAAGTTGAGTTTACACACTTGTCTATATGTGTAGCCAACCAACTGTTACTATTTTTAATATGAAGTCAACTAAATAAAGCAATAAAAGGCTACAAACTGGCATGTTTTGACCAGCTGATGTGTGTAAACAGTCTCATCATGGCAAAGGGGGCCGTCCCATGAGCGGTGTGACGTCACATGCAAAGGGTCAATAAGTACTCATCATTAGTGATGTAAATGTTCAGACTTTCATTCTGAAGTACTTTCATGTTTTAATTTTCCAACATTATTGTGCTTTCATTAGAAACCGGAAATGGAACGCCATCCAGAAGTTCTGACACTGCTGCTGAAAAGATTCAAGTTTGACTACAGTTTGATGAACTATGTAAAAATCAAACGCAGTGTGCAAATTCCCAAGCTCCTACAAATCCCAATCAGTGGAGACCAGGTACCGTAGTCTGTATGGTAATGATTAGTTTCTCATTCCTTGCTTTCATCGATTTACTGTTTCCTGCTTTTTAGAGTCAGAAATATGAGCTGTATGCATTTGTGGAGCATCTGGGTGAGCTGAGATTCGGACATTACACCGTATCAATCAGATCCCAGGATGATGGCAGATGGTATGACTTTGACGACACCAGGGTCACACTGGTATGATTTTCTTAATATTGTTTGATAAACATCAATACTTCATAAAAAGAAATGGCCTTCATTTTAAAACAATGTCACTGTTTTACACAGAGTCCGTATCAGTACTTCCAATTGGATAATGAAGAAAAGTAAGTTTCTATCTGTTTTTCTGTTTGTTTGTACTTTTGCTAAACGTCACAATAATTTAATATTTTCTTCTCACTCATAACTAGAAACTGCTCTGCCTACCTGCTGTTCTACAGGAAAAGTAAGACCAGAAAAACATCATTTCTATGCTAACCGATTCGTTTCCTGAGTGACTGAAACATTTTCTAAATCTACTTCATCTTTTATTTGGTTGAACTCCAGTTTCTGCTGCAGAGACTCTGATTCAAGACATCAATGAAGCATCTACATCTGGAAGCTTCGAGCCAGAAACCACTCAACAAAGTGTAGTGAACATAAAGACCAAAGGACAGGATGGTGGGGATGAAGCAGCTGGGAATGAACGTAACATGGACAGAGAGGAATCTGATAGGGAAACTGTAAAAAATGCTAGCGACAAACAAGAGGGAAGAACAGACAAACATAAAGAGAAAAACAGTTTGATTGATCACAATAAAACTCAAAATATTAATGATGGTGAAAGAGCACCAAACAGTGATATTGTGGATGGTGTTAATACAGGAGAAAGTGACAGGGCGAGCGTGGATAAACAAGAAACTGATGGGTCCTCAAAACAAAACTGAGACTCAGAGGCTTTTGACCAAATTAGATCTTTGTAAAGATTTTACGAAAGATCGAGGGGTCAATGAGCAAAGTGTAGATGATGTTAATGAAGGCGGGGATGGCAGGACTAGTGTGGATGACAAGACTCAAAGCGATAACACGACGAGTCATTATAAACATCAGCTTTCAAAGACTGATCAGGAGAATGAAAAAGATCAATGTTCAGATAAAAGTGAAACGGACTTGACAAATAAAAGTTGCAGTGAAAATCAGAAGCATGTCAAAAGTTCGTCTGACAACCAAGAGATCAAAGATCAGAATGTGGGCAAACAAAAAGATATCCATCCGGAGACAGATGAAAGTAAAAACAAAACTTCTTTAGAGCTTAAAGAGTCAGCCAATCAGAGCAATCGAACAAATCCTAATGCACAAAATCAAAATCCGGACTCAAAACAACAATTTTGTGACAAATCAAGTGGTAATTTTTCTACAAGTTGTACTGAGGAGAATAATTCAAGTGTTCAGAAATCAAGAGAACCTCTTAAAAGAGTAGGTGTGGGCAAGCTATGCCTGACACTTACAGCAAAAGCTCCACCAACCAAAACCGGTGTTCAGAACACTGTTGGGTTGCAAAATATGGGTTTGAAAGATCCAATAGAATCTCAGAACAGTGGCCAAAACATTATTGCAAGAACTGCCTGTTGTGCAGGGGGTCAGAGTTCAACTATGCCTGATGATGGTGAAATGGCAGAAGTTTCAACTGATGTAAAAATTCAAGTTGAGAGTGACGATTCACATGTACCTGATCAAAAAGGTGTTTGTGATTTTCTACCAATCTGTAGGTCTCCAAGAATGTATAAATAACTGATAGTAATTTTCGTTATTATCAGTCTACCATTAATAGCGGCAGATATCGGCATTCAAATTTTATATTGGAAAAGATTGGTATTCTGCTTTAAGACAACTTTTACATACCATACACATATTATACATAAAAAGCTTCAGCTCTGTCTTAAAATGTAAAAATATCACAGATCTGATGTAAACTTTTTCAGATATTTTAGTTTGGCACAACTTGTGTTGCAGACATTTGCCCTGTGTAGTGATAAACAACAAAAACCGGAATCTTCAACCAAGGTGTGATTTTCTTATATGAAAATCTTTATAAATGTTTCATCACCATAGATGCAATTTACAGAAAAAGAAAAAAATGACATTACTAACTAATGCACACATCTTAATGTCACGCTTAAGGAAAATGAGATTCAGCTGTTGTTTGAGACAAATTTAAGTAGTGGTCATTTTGCTCATAAAGTATTTAAAATGTAAGCATGCATGATAGGAGACATGTGATGTGAGTAATCCAAAATGTTTTACTTTTTTGCATTTTTAATGAGAGGGGTACCCCGCATATATACCGTAATTTTTGGACTATAGAGCGCACCAAAATATAAGCCGCACCAACAACAAAAAAAAAGGTTTTCTACACACACATGCTGCACTCGAATACAAGCCGCGGCGCAGCAGCCACATGCAAGTCGCCGGCGCACAGCGCATGTATGGCCATAACATAAGATAATTAGACAGAAAGACGCTACACGGAGGTTTTTCATTGTTGTTTTAATTCAACAAAACGGATTTTAAACACGGGTGAACGTGCCTGCAAGTTTAGAAAAGAAAACAGCACTGATAGCATTCATATTTCTGGATGGTTATAAAATAAAAACAGCGCTGACACGTTATTACTGGTAATTTGCATGTTTAGAAGAAAAGAACAGCGCTGACACAGCATTAATAAGCCCTGGATGATTAGAAAATAAAAACTGCACACAAAACATGCCTGGTTAGTAAATAAAACACACTTGCCTACCAGAAAAAGTCATTCGCTCTCATCTTCCTCTTGCGCATTAAAGCCATTAAAGTCCTCTTCTTCAGTGTCGGAGTTGAACAGCCTCAGAAGAGCTTCGTCACATACCTTTTCTGTGGCGATGTCAGTGTCGCTGTCCGTGTTGCTGTCATCATCCCCGGGTGAAGCTGGCTTGAATGAGTTCTTCCCGCTGCCGTCTCCAGCGCCGAACCATGGATTCATTCATGCCAAGCTTACGTGCGGCAGCACTGTTTCCCTCCTTTACTGCCAGATCGATGGCCTTCAACTTAAATGCGGCAACATATGAACTCATACGTGTAGTTACCATGATGAGGGGGTATGGATTAGAAAAAAATTCTTCGTCGTGCCGGCTGCTTGCATGTGCTAAATTAAAATGAGCACTTTCTTCGATTTCCGCTTCTGACTTCCACTTGTTTCACTTTCTGCTAAAGCGCCCCCTGGCAGGTGAAGGAAATCTTCAGTAAAGCCGCACCTCATTATAAGCTGCATGGTTCAAAGCGTGGGAAAAAGTAGCGGCTTATAGTCCGGAAAATACGGTATGTATACATTTATATTTGTATCAGAAATTAAGAGTCCACAATATCGGGAAAACAAGTCAATACTGAGTGTCCCTAATAGCTGATCAGAGATAAAAGTCTGAATGAGACAAAGAAAAATTATCCTCATCCAGAATCACACCATTTTCTTTTTTTTTTCATTTCTAACAGTTTGAATGAACCTGAAAATGTATGAAATGTTTTGACCATTGAAATTTTATATTTGAAATATGTTTTTGATAGATAAGAACGTTTAACTAACAGTGTGTAAATAATTTTTGTAGAAGCATGATATAATGTGCAGAGTTTTATGCTTGCCTTGGTTATTTATCAATATATTTCATGTACTTTATTGAAGTAATTAAGAAGACCTTTGCTTTTAATACTTATGATATTTTTTAAAGAGCTATTGCCTCCTAATTCATTCAAAAATTTCACTTAATTTTGTTACGCTTGTTTTTCAGTTATAGCATTGATTAGTTACTTGAGCTACTGTTTTAATACAAATGTTATAAATATGTACCAGCCTGAACTACTTACTATTTTATTTTTTATGTCAGGAACAACCAAGTGAGGTATGGGTGTGATTATGCAAAGAAAACACTTGTGAGTGATGCCTGTTTTATTGACCAAACAAAGAAACATGTTTATTTTTATCTTAAATCTATAATAAACTAATTTAAACTACTTGTGTGTTTTATGTTTCATATTTTTGGTATATACACTGCCTGGCCAAATTAAGTCAGCACTTGTGTAACGTCCAGAAAGGGTCATTTTTCATCTACAGTTTGACCTCTTCAGTATCCGGTCATCTACAGACATAATTCTGCCTCTGGGTGCCCTCTAATATCCCAAGCTGCAAGAAAGGTTCTACAGTGTTGTTGACATTGAGATTGTTAACACAGCGTTCCCTTCACCAAGGTCTTTCTTCCAAGCCTGTCTGCTTGGACCTGGTGAAGGACCCGGTGAGCAGTAGGGTGGGGGTGGGGTTGGTGTTTCCGAGTCTGGGTTACAGCTGTGGTCGCCGGCTGCAGAATGGCTGTTCAGTTTTCATGGCTAGTTGGCAATTATGTGTGCTCTACATTGGGGAGGGGAGCATGCTCCACCTCGGTCCGTTATTAGTTCTGATTTGGTAGCAGCCCTGGAGGCACTGGTGGGGCAGTGCTCCGGGTCTCGGCCACACTTGCTGGCTTCTGTCAGGATGGCGTTACATCGGTTGGCTGTTGGGGGTTGTGAGGTGTGTTTTATCTGGGTTCCCGCTCATGTGGGGGTAGAGGGTAATGAACGGGCAGGTGTTGTGGCCAAGGGAGCACTGGGAAGGTAGGATGTGGATTTGAGGGTGGAGCTGGGGCCTCCGGAGAGTCGCTCCACAATATTTTTGGTTGGTTGGTACCCAAATGGTAGGTGTGAGTGTGGAGATGTGGAGATGGTTAGGCACGTTCTTCTGAGGTGTGGCCGATACGCGGTGGAGCAGCAGACTTTGTTTGGAGCTTTGGGTGCATTGGGGGTGACTGTGCTCAGTCTGCGGAAATTACTGGAGGTAGTGGAGTGGTGCAAGATGGGAGCATTGTTGCGTTTTCTACGGACGATTTGAGTCTACGACAGGCTGTAGTCAGGTTTGGCTGTAGACTTAGGCTACGTTTGCACTGCAGGCCTTGATGCTCAATTCCAATTTTTTGAGTAAATCAGACTTTTTTGCGTGGCCATTCACACTATGACTGAAATGTGACATGTGAATGCTTCATGGCACCAAAGCGAATGTGCAAAAGACAAGAAGTCACACTCAGTGGAGCCGAAACCAGGAGCGGCGCAGTTGTGCCGTAATCCTGATCCTGTGCTTAAACTATCAGTGAAAACTTTCACACCTGTTAAGTCTTCCATTTTGGGCTGGAAACTGTTTTAAAAACTGTAAACTATTTTACTCATTGTTCCTGCCGTCTTCCTAAATTATTATTCACCGATAATGTTCCAGTAATAATTCATTCACAGAGAATCCCCCCCCCCCCCCCCCCCCCACACACACACACACACACAGAGACCAGTGAGACGCTTCGCTCCAGCAGCACCATCATCTCTCGTTCACATTCTTTCTTGTATTTTTAATTCCTAAACTTAAAACAGAATGTCCAGACACACTCCTGAACCCTTCTGTCAGCGCTTCTCCTCAGGAACATCCACACACGACGCTCACCTCCGCTGACTCAGTGACGTAGGAGACTGATTTAATGCAACATGACTATTCAGATTGCAGTCGCTTTCAAAACCATCAGATATGTGTCGGAATCAGTGCTACATATTCAAGTGACACGGATCTCATTTAAAACAATCGGATCTGTGCATTCAAATTGTCATAAAAAAAATCAGATATGACTCCTGTGTGGGGTAAAAAGTGACGTCTCTGGCATGGATACGGGCACCCAACCTCCCCCGTAAGGAAGTGAAGGAAAGTGAACAAGAGGCCAAGTGTGGAAGATTGTGGGTTGCCCTCTCCTCGCACATGTGAGTGGTGCAATGTTGGTGCTGGTGCCTCTGTGTCTTGTCAGGGCTTTGGGCCACGGAGGGCGTGATGTGTCCAAGGAGCGGAGCTGTGCAAGGGGACTGCAGGAGATGAGAGACGGCGGTGGGCGCAGCAGCGAGCGAGGGAACGACGCTGGAGTTGTGGCAGCAGCACATACGGGTTGTTGCAGGAGATCGGCTTTGTGCCTGACAGCCAAAGAACAAGGTGGAGCAAACTGGATCCCAGCTACGTGGGTCAACGCACGGTCAGTTGGAGCCAAGAGTTGGCTCCTCGTACTGGACACCGTCCCGCCCCTGGTGATGCACAGGATGTTTTAGACTGTTTTAGGACTGCTTTTATGTTTTTACTCCTTCAACCTTTGAAGACAGAAATTTTTAGCATTGTCCTTGCCCCTCCTCCCAATAAATTATCTACTTTGGTCTTCAGTGGTTCTCCTGTCTGTTCTTTGGACCACCTGAGTTGCTTGTTCCCTCTTGTATCCAGAACCTACAGCAGTGTTGAGCTGCAGCGGGTTGACATATATGTAGATGTATTCATAGAAAGCTTCACAGTAGCGCGATGGTTAGTGCTGTTGCCTGGGGGCAGCAGTAGCTCAACAGGTTGAGCGGGTTGTCCAGTAATCGGAAGGAACCTTGCCTGCTGGTGGTGGTCGGAGGGACCTGTGGCGCCTGTGCTCCGCAGCCTCGCTTCTGTCAGTGCGCCCCAGGGCAGCTGTGGCTACATTGTAGCTAATCACCATCAGTGTGTGAATGTGTGTGTGAATGGATGAATGATACACTGTAGTGTAAAGAGCTTTGGAGTCCTTACTCTGAGAGGCGCTATACAAGTGCGGGTCATTTATCATTTGCAGCAAGAAGGTCTGCAGCCTCTTTTCATGGAGTTTGCATCTTCTCCCTTTGTACTTTAAATTAAGGTTAGAAATTTGCTTACTAAAGTACAGGTTTGGTGTGTAAAAAAGGCACAAATTACAAGGGTACAAATTTGTACCCACAGTTACACGTACAAAATCACAGTTACAGGTACGAAATGGTACCTCAGGGTACCACCACAGTGACAACACATTGTATCCCTAAAGGTACAATTCTGAACTTCAGTTTCTGAATGTGTATATCATGTGACCCAAAGTTTCCTATTTAGGGACACCTGTGTATTTTTATGTCACTACTGCATATCACTGCATAATAAAGGACCTTTGCTAATTAAATGGCCTCTTGTTATTTAAATAGGGCGTGCACAATACCGCGCTGCCTTGGTAAATGTGAAAGGATCACAGCTAGAGGGTTGGAAAGTGGAGGTTTGCCTGCCCGGTCAGTACATACTGAATATTTCATTGTGTAACAAGATAATGCCAGTACCAGTTAAACTGATGAGTTATACTTTCTTACTGCAGAGGGGATGAATGACCTATGGTAGCGTTTTGTTTTACATCGGATGTGTCAGTCTGCCTTTGAAGGAGCTGTCCATGGCCTCTACAGTGGAATGTTGTGGGTGGGAGGCGTTTTCCAAGATGGAGGTCATCTCCTCAACTGAATCCAGTGAGCAGTGTAGATGCGATCTAGCTTCATTAACTGTTCAGTTTCTTCCTGTCTTGGTCAGAGCTGCCTGCACCCAAACAGACCACAGCAGAGTGGGTAACAGATCCAACAACAGAGTGATAAAAAGAGTACCCAAGGTCAAGCAGGTTTGGCAACATTTTTTGTAAGACAACAATAAAGGGGACATTATTTAAACATCCTCCTTTTGTCTGAGTCATGTTTTCACAAACTACCAAGTCTCCTGGTCTAAACGCAAGGTTTCATTTTTTAGGAAGGTATTGTTTCTAAGTTTCGTTTTTCTGGAAATGAGAGTTATACTTTTAAAGTGCTTTAACTGTTTTCTTTCGTTTTTAATTCAGGTTTTCCCCTAAATGTTTTCTACTTCTCTTTGTAGCTCTGTTTGCATAAACATTGTTAAGTCAGAGATATGAGTCAGACTGGAAAATACCTGAAATTTTAAAGTACTTGAGCTTCCACCCTAAAGAAATCTACTGATTATAGTTGGAGTCTAAACACTGCAGCACGACTAGACTTTTAGGCTCCAGTCACAATTCCTGCACACAAAGTGCTGTTCTGTTTTAATCTAAAAGTAAACATGCAACTAATTTATAAAATTAAGATGGCACTTTCTCCAGCTGAAGGGTGCCTAAATCATGCAGTGCTTTCCATGAAAAGTTTTCCCCTCGGTTTATGTTCTGTGAAAAAGAAACTAAACTGAAAGCAGGTACTTCCGTTTGCTTGCATTTATGACACTGAGGCTTGACAAATGTTGACTATACTACATGTTTTATAATTCCCCTTACAGCACACACTTCATTGTCATAGGGATTAAATAATGCTCTACTAAGCAGTCGACATGTATGTTAATAGATTAAACAAAGCCTTCTTAAGTTATGATAATCAATATAAATTGAAAGAAGTTGTAGAAATTTTGGGTTTTCAGAGCAAAACACAGATTCACCTTAAATTACCACAGTTATGAGCCTGAGGTCTTCTGACATGATTCATAGTATCAAATCTTCATGGTCTTTACTTAATAAAATATTATGTATTCATTGCACACTTTAAAATTTTAATACAACCACAGAAATTCTGAATTCACGAGACCTTGCACAACTTTTCACTTTCTTTTCCCACTTGTTTCTAAATGTGTTTAGCTCAAGACGAAGTTCATCTTTATTTATTTCTGTGTGTCATATCTCCTGACTGAGCAGAAATTGAAACTCTTATCAAAATATCACATGCAGTAAACAGCAAGTCTGCTGATGTGTCGCATTTGATTGAATGCCGTTTAAATGTTCTGTTTTCATGCTGTTAGATTTAGCTTCTTACATCAGTCACAATAAATCACGTGACTACAGCCAACAGACTGGGTCTAACACTTTCTTTTCCAGGTTAAGCATTTTATTGTGTTGCTTTTAAGAAACTATTAATATGTAGGTTAATTTTGAGCTATGAAATCAACACGAAATGATTAAGCAATACTAATTTCACTTTTTGAGTGCATGTATTTTTGTGACTGTGGCGCCCCCAAGGGATGGCCTGTGGGGGCCTTGGACATCTGTATAAAATAGCTGGCCACCCCTCTGGACCCCTCAGGAATACCACCTCCTTCAATAAATAATTTTCATCTT